GCCGGTCGATTGTTATCGGAATTGACAAAGTAGTCGCGACGTTCATTGGCCACGAAATAATGAGTTTGCGGAAGTAAAATTATTATCACAAATGGTGGACGTTCTAAAATTAGGCTTTATTTGCTTTTTACGAAATTATTTTGACCTTGTACCCCCATATACAGCACAAAAAGCCCATATAGCCTCCATTCAAAAATCGACTAGTTTCTGTAATTTTATCATTTGACGGAATCTTAGAACTGCAAATGGGTGTTTTCTAACTAAAAGCGAGCAAAAAACCAAAAAACCTGTTCGTCGTTTCCTCCCAATTTTGGCATGATTTTTCGTCCTGGGTGTCGGATGTGCGTAAACTTCATTTACGACTTATACCCGGAGAGCAATTAAATCGAGTTGTATTGTCGACCGAAAAGAGTCTGAAGAAAAACTCGAGCAGCGCAATAAAATGTCAAACATCCTTATTGCACGTCAGTTTTAAGAAACGTTGAAGTTTTTCGGTCAAATTGTTGAGATGTCCGAAGCGGTCGTTTTTGAATTCGAAAAAGGAACGACAAGGCAGCTCTAATTCGAACTTGTCGCGGAATTCCAACATTTTTAACACAATATTGAACCATCGTATGCTGTTTTCCCATTCCCTTTATGAAGGGATCGCCCGACGGCAGTCCACAACCCCCTTATAATCAAAGCAGGTGATTCCTAGAAGGGCGTCTAATAGACAAGTTATGTCTTTCATTATCATATGCATTATTCAAATCGGTGCTGAACTGATACTTTGTGAAACGGACGAAATGGACGGGTATAACTGCCACAGAAACAAATCCGAGATAACCAAACTTAAACCAGTTAAATATACCTAATAAAAAAATACAAAGTGCCTTATAGCAGATATTTGACTCAGATGGCGATTTTTAATTAAAACTCCCCACTTTATAATTTCTGAAATATCTTATCTAAAATCGTGATACTCTAATAAAAATTACTATTTACTAATATTTTTAAACATATTCAATCTCTGTGAAAAAAATTCATTTTCAAAAAAAAGATTGAATATCTAGTGTTTTTTTTTTATGAAAATGCTAAACAGTGTTAACGTGCAGTTTCGGTTTTTTGAAATAATTTGAAAACAATGTCATTAAACGTCAACACAAAAAATCGTCTAAGAAAACTTAGAGACGAAACACCAAAAAGGAACAAATTCGGTACCGCTAACAGTTTTTAGAAATTTGGAAACGAATAGTTCGCAAGCAGGAAGTTAGAAAAAGGGCCCGTTAAAATGTGGACGCAATTTGTAATTTTTTCACCAAAATTTTGGCTCGGTAATTTCCATTTAAAGAAAAAACAGACTTTACTACAATTTTGATAATTGTGTTTTAGTCTAAACTCTAAAAGTTTTACCACTGTAGTTTCTAAAAACGCTGTCCTACACATACAATAAACAAGTATAAGATTTAGTTATCTAGTTTTTATGGAACACTAAATAACAGTATGTCCCCGGATTGAGTTTACAAGAGGAAAAAAAACTTTAATTTTACTCCAAAACTGCAAAAGAAAAACATTTTTTGCTTTACCTGAAACGAACAAATCTGTAATTACGACTTCATTACTTTAACTCAGTAGAAAAAAAAGTTAATTTTTCTTTTGGTTTTAGAATAATTTTTCTCTGCTTTTTAAGTCCTATCACATTGGCGGTTTTATTATTTTGACAAATAAATAGCAACCCAAAGAGACAGCTTTGAGATACAAACCAAAGTCATTTTTAACAAGAACTATCATTATTTAATTAATAAATTAATTTTCTAACTAACATAGTTGTCAAATAAATAAAATTGCCAATGTGATAGGACTTATTAAAAAGCAGAGAAAAATTATTCTAAATTGAAAATCAAGAAAAAAATTAACTTTTCTTTTCACTGAATCAGAATAATGAAGTTTTAAATACAGATTTGATTGTTTTAGGTGAAGCAAAAAGGTTTTTCCTTTGCAGTTTTGGAGTAAAATCAAAGATATTTTTTTTCCTCTTGTAAACTCAATCCGAGGACATACTGTACACATTTTTCCTACGACCATATACGAAACTAGATCATAACGCACAATTACATATGCGCGAAATTTGGCAATATCGTACGAGGTCAAAAATCTGTGCGATTTGTTTTCGCACTGTGTGTTAGAAATCTAACGCACAATTCACACTCGAATGTTTTTTATTTTTTCATTCAACGTATTTTTTTTGGATCCATTATAAAAAATAAATCGTTATTCAACGTATTTTTGTATCCATTATAAAAAATAAATCGTTATGAAAAAAAAAATATGTTCGTAAGAAAAAAATTATTTATGGTAGTACAAAAAATAGTGTACAAAACTTGTGCGCTTGTGCGTTATTTATCACTTTCCGTGCTCGTTATGTAATATACTATTTCGTATACATACATTTAGGTAATGAACAGTTTTTGATGCACTCTGTCCACATATTCTATGTAATTTTTTTGACACTCTCGTCCTCTTCCGGGCACTCAATTAATTAGGAAGGCAAATGTAAAATTTATTTCTTCATCGTCTCACCGCCGGCTATAAATTACCGGAATAAATTACAAGATTCGATTCACCGAAAAAGTCCGATCAACAGACTTGTACTTGCCAGATTAAAGCACAAATCATTAATTATCCAAATATTGACTTTAGCCAAGGTGCACCAGTTTTGGAAAGCGCGCGCGTGCTAATTAAAATAGGAAGTCGTCCGAACAAATCGACCGAATTAAGCCAAAAGCGGCACCCGGAAGCGAAGAGAAACCGATTCTTTTCGTATTAATTATCTTCAGCTGCAAATCGGTTCGCGGGTGGACGACGGCCGCACGTGGCCCCCTTATTTCAATCATGCTTGACGGCTATGCAGAATCGTCGTTAAACATGATTTAATCCCGACTTCGGTTACCAAAACGAAAAAAACACGAAATTAAAATCGCATACCGCATGCGAGCCGAAGTGCATCTGCACAGAGGCATGTGCGAGGGCACCAGAGGCGTACCAAAGCAGTTAAAAAAAACGATTTTATAATCGAAAAATGACTCGTATGTCAATCAGAGATTGATTGAATTGACGTACTCGCACTCAAAACTCATAAAACCCTCCCGATTTACCCAAAATCAACAACAAGGCCCTAATTGAAAATTTGTTAATCGCATCAATTCATTGAATTTATTACGCCACTTATGCTTTATAGCCAATAACAATAATTTAAGCAATAAACCCTTCACGTAGACATTTATCACAAACCTTCTTAAAGCACGCATACTAATTTTAACAGTATTTATCAGATATTCCGGCCATAAATTGTGCACTGGCCTCATTCTTCTTCTTGCAATTAACTCCAGAGATAATTTACATAAAAATTGCGGTCCCCAGGCGAGAACAACAATTTTCGAACGCGATCAATCTATTACGACCAACGTTTTGAGCACCCCTTCATCAAAAGGGTTGGAAATTTAAATAAAACAACCTGTCGGAAGAGTTTTTCTACTACCTACAAAGCGACCAAAATCAAAATTCATTAGATAAACATCGCCAGGCATAAAACGGACGGTAATTATTTGGACCTGAGGTTTTAACAGCAAATCTGGGGCTATTGCCTGTTATTAAATAATAAGCACGCAGCTGGCCCTTCCTCGAATTTTTTCGTGAGTGGAATGTCCAAATAACCGAAAAGAGACCGTTTCCGGAATAAAGTTAATTATTTCATGGCGACATAAAATATTTTAAATGCGACCTACCACACAATAACAATTACTGATTATTACTTGATTATCTCATACAAACAGAAAATATTAGACAGTGTGATTTTTGCCTAGTTGATAAATGCGCTGTTGATGATGCAATAAATTAATTGAAAAATCCCAAAATTGAATAAATTGCTCATCACATGCGAAATTTAATCAGCGATCAGCGGAATATCAATTATGGACAATGCTTGAGATACACCTTTGCAGCTCGCATCTGCATGTAATCGCCGTTGGAATATCACTGATTTTATCTGATATAAATGAATTATCGAGTCGAGTTTCGAGCACAATTGAGCGGAAGCAGTGGTCATCGCGTTTCCTTTTTTTATTACGTAATGACGCCGGGGGCAGAAACGGTTTTTGAAAAATCTTCGGAAATTCGATGAGTGTCGGCGGAAGCTCTAAAAATGTTAATTATTATCGCGAGTAATCGGATAGGGGAGATTATATCAGTGTCGCGTGTACCGACAGGCTTCGGGACTAAATATCCTCGAAGAAAATGGGAAATTTGTTTGCTTTTTTCCAATAAATAAAACCCAATTAATATGAACAAACACGAAAACGTCGAAATAAAGAGCTGATTAATCATTGGTTTATCTGATAAAAGACGGCCCCTGGCGAGTTGGATTAATAAATGTTTACTTGACTATGAACGATTAGCTCTCAAGTGGCCACGACACTCGTTTACCTGTCTCTATAAATTAAAAAGATTGCATGAGAGGTTGAGACAATTTCATTATGGCACATATCGAAACACGCTAGATCAATGATAGAACAAAATACAATTTGGGGCATTTCTATGAGAGTTTCAAGGTCATAGCAGTCACTACAACATTGTTTCCCGGTAGTAAAAGCAATTAATCGAGCCGTTAATTCGAATATCATTACCAAATTTTTACGACTTTAGAGAATATGGCATTAAATTGGATTTAAAATTAAGGGATAATTGGGTAGATACCGGTCACAGTGCGTTAAGTACTTATTAAATGTTATGGAAATTAAATAACCATGTCATAAAATTGTCCTGATGTACGATTTTACAAGTTAATAAAAACAAACTTTAATTATTTAACGTCAGGTGTCAACGACATATAAGGTATCTAATTAAAGATATAAATTATTTTTCGTATCTTTACTAAAAAAACTTAATTTCCATGCAAATCGCGTTTTCGACCAGTCAGGGGAAAAATGTATACATGTGGTAGGAAGTGAATTAAAAGACCTCAAGTGACTAAATAACATATTATATCAGATCTTACAATAGTATAATAGATCACTATAAGGATGGCACTTGGAAATGAACTTTGAACTCCAAGCAAATCGTGCCTTTAAAAATTAAATACATACATTTGATACATTTTAGTACTAAAAATCGTGAAATTTATATTTTGTACGATATTGCATTAAATAACTAGACGTGTCGTGAGATCGTAACCAGCAACCAGAGAAAAAGTCACAAGTCCTAAACTTCCTAATCACTAAAGCCATGGGGTGATTACAGCATAAGTAAAAATTAATAATACCGCAACATTCCACACTAATTAAAAAAATATTTTGTACTTTTGCTCTCACCAAAACTACAACTCAAATAGTACGATTTGACATCAAAAAAAATTAGTAACACATTAAAAATATTCAGTAAGCGAGATCTACTTCATCCATGATGAAATCGGTGGCATAGCCGGAATCCATACTGAACGGACTGGAAATAAAACGAATTAGCCGGGCGTCAAACCCAATTACAGGAAACTCACTTGACGGCTCTACAAGTGAAGAAAACGATACGCTTCAACCGCTTATTGTAAAAAAAATAATTGAAACTCCAGAGACAGCCGTCTTCGCCGAAAGGGTCCGAGGCTAAATCAGGATTGTAAGAATAGATGTCGCAATCCTCGAGGGATATCTCGTCGTTGATTGCCGCCCACAGAGAGGCCCCCAGACCGCGGTACTGGTCGCCTGCGGTGGCGAACAAGTTTGAATCGATTGCGTTCTCCACCCATTGGCGCGAGGGCTCCTTGCTGAATTCGTGGCTCTGAAAATTTCCCTATTCATTACCAAACAGCAATGCAAATTTTTTATTTATTTTTATTGTTAGGAGGGGACTTGAAATAGAGCGGGCCGACCTTCAACTCATACCTTGACGTCCATGAAATCGTAGTCAGGGAAGGCCGAGTTGAGGGTTGCGATGAGATAAAAGAGAGTCTTGCGACTGATTGTGTCGCAGAGTGGGCCCTCTTCGTCACCTGAGACGCTACGGCTGTACTGCGAATGGCCGGGGGAGACGCCCTCGGGGGGTGACAAAGCCTGCAAGTCGTTGGGGTGCACCCCCTCGGGGTTGAAACGTTTGTAGAGGGCTTTGTCAGCCCCTGCCATTTTGCAGGAGTAGCTCTCGATGCGGCCGATGATCTGGCTGTCTCCGGTCTGGATCGACAGGAGGTTGTTGATGGCTTCAAATCTTGTACTTTCGAGTAGTTTCATTTTGTACTCTTTGAACTTGATATGTTTATTTGAGTAATAACGGATTTAAAGCACTGACGGAAAAGTTTTTGAACATTGCGGTCGGGTGTATGAATATGCCTTTTCTCTTGGAGTGGCGGAGGCACGACGGGACTAAAGTACGCTTCACCGATTTGCTCAACAGATAATTTGGGCACATTACACTTATTAGAAATAAAAAAGAAAAAGGTTTTTGGGACAGAGTCAATTCGAATTGGAAAAACTCAAATGTTTCACTGGGCGAGTCCACTTTGTTTGTTTATGACAGTCCGAGATTCTACAAATTTCACCTTTGCTAGAGTTCGGAATACGAAGAGTGGTACATTTTACAAACGAGCACAACAAACGTAACACTCGAATCAAACTTTTCACAAAATTTACCGCGATTTTTCACTAAAAAACAATAATTTTCGCTGTGACATAAATCGAGCTTGTACACAAATGAATGTCAAGCGGACACTACCAACCTAACGGACATAAAATTAGAAACCGACAAGCTAACTTACACAATTAGAATTACAAAACAACTTTCCTCGACGATTGTTCTTATTTTTACACTTGCAGAACACGAAAGTGCACACAACTGTGCCAAAAACCCAACCGGGAGATGATTTTTTCACACCCAAGAAAAATCGCAAAGTTGGCGGCCCTGACCGATCGCTTGCCTTTGTGCTACTCTTATTTACACCAATATGACCTCTGAGGTCATACAGAGGCGTAACAACTTCGAAAATTGCAAAACTGTAAACTCTGACTCGCTTTATTGCAAAATTATAGGAAAATTTCACGCAAATTACTTGTTTTTCATCATCAGAGTAGGGTTTGTTATGATCGATAAGTGTTTAGTCTGCAGTCCTTTATTTTTTTCCAAAAAATTTGTAATTTGTTTTCAAGAAATTTTTCCAAATTGTTGTAAATTAATAAATTATTATTCACAATTTTTTGTAAAACTGACTACGCCACTGGCAATCCACCTTGATTAATTAGGGCAAGAGCATCGAAAATAACTGTTATTTGAGTATTTATAATTAAGATAATTAAAACGCTCAACAGTTAATATACTTTTTTTATTTAAATTCACACAAATTTCCAGGTGTACAATCGTGAATTGCATAATAAAAATAGACACAGGATACGATATTGTTATCAGTTGGAAGCTGGATTCTTTTCATAATGAATATTTAAACAGTTATGTAACGAAATAAAAACAAAAATTTGTTTAAAGTGATTACAAAATTATTATGTAAAAGATTGAATGAAACTTTTATCTGTGATATGATGTTTGCATTTTGTAGACATACCGAGTCGACTATGTAATAAAATGAATAGGTAGCTAATATTGTGGATTTATGCACTGATTCAGTGATAAAAAGTTATCTCATTAAAATGTTTTATTTATTTTTAGAATAATAAACATTAAGTAGACGCTCTTGACACTGAAAAAATTAATATCGCATTTTTGACCTTTGTTTTTAAAATTCTTTTAAAAACATTTAAAACACTTTTAGGTAAAATTCTGAAAAACAATGTTTATTAAGAAAACAAATACAAATAGAAAAATTTAAATTGAATATTAAAAAGCAAGATATATGAAACGCAAAAGCGTAAAACAATTTTTTATATAAAAATTCACATTATTTGTAAAAATAAAAATCAGCATTGAAATAACTTCTATTTTCTATTTTTTACAGTTTTCGCTTTTAGCATTCCAATTTATAAAAATGAGCCAAAAATCTAACAAAATCCTGCATCTATCCAATAAATTCTCTATAGTGTTACACTCTTACATAAAACCGATCTATTTTTACTCCTCCGTTGCATCCGAATTCGAAAAGCTAAAAGCCACGATGAAAAAAGTCCATCTCCATCGCTCCTCAACTTATCATACGCCGTGTTTATTTTTAATGTTATTTAGTAAACAGAAAATTGAGAAACAATTTGACAACCGGACGTAGCCGAACTATCCATTTACTAAATTTAACCCAAGCATCGGGACGTCGAGCGTCGTTTCTCTCCGTTCCCAACGTCACGAACGTAAACTCTCAAAATACACTCGAAAACTCGGCGATCAAGAAAGTCAATTAAAGAAACTTTTCCGCAATTTATAACAACACGATCGGTAAGTCGGGTGTGCCATTTTAACACTATTCCAAATTTAATTTAATTTTATTTCATCCACATTAAAATATTTAGCCCAATTGATGACTAACACGTGGCTTTCGTAACGTGATATTTCCTCTTTTGTTGTGGTAGAGAGAAGAATTGCCACCAAACATGTGATTATAACAATACTATGAGCCTCAATCACCAAGATTCAGAGATCGGACAAAGTCCTGGCTGTGATCCAAAAGCTAGCAAAAGAAATAGCGGTTTATTTGCTTTCTTGAAATGGTTTAAACCCTCGACTTCTCGCGAATCCATAGACACTCAGAATTCCAGCAGTTGTGAGAGTTTGAATTCGGTACAAAGCAGTGGAACGGTGGCGTCTTTCTCATATGTGCCCCCGGGTGACTACACCAACAAAGTGAGCGAAAAGTGCATCATTCTGGGGCCCGAGACGGACACATACAGAGCGAGACTCAAACAAAGAGACAAGAGGCGAGAAAACGACAAAAACGTCACTTTGCGAAAAAAATACAACTTATTTTTCAACCGCGATACGTTACTCAAACCGGTCAAGAAGGACGAAGACGACGAAAATACGAAAAGTCTCCCTTTGATGACGCGCCCCTCTATGGAAGAAGAAGAAAAGTCGCACAGAAGAACGAACAGTGAGTCATCCAAAACGAAAAAAGCGGGGGCTTACCTCCACGTCAAGGGCAAACGGCGGGCTCCCCAGCCCCCCACTACCTCGACAATGAGTCTCCGCAGAAAAAAACGACTGGCTCCTGCGCCCCCCAGTCTGGAGAAAATCAAAAATACTCCAGAGTCGGAAATCATTTTCAACGACTCGTTAAAATTAGATCATGGCATTCTAAAACCGGCCAAAGAGACAACTTCTGAGACAAAATCGAGCGTGTGTGAGACCCCCGTGTCACCTAGGCCGTGGTACAAAAGGACTCCGAGTAGCAAAGTTGAAGAAAAACGCAAATCAGGGATGAGTTTCCTCACGAATATCAGCGAACTCGACCGCGAAGCGTCCGAAATAGTCCGAAAAGAGCACCAAAAAAACGGAAACGACGAAATACCGCAGTTCATGAGGCCGAAAGAAGACACTAAAATAAACACCGACAGTTGGGTGTCCCCCAAAAGACGCTCTGCGAAGGATTTGATCGCCAAGTTCAATGCTATCACCAGTGTGACTAAAGCAACGGTGTTTGGAGTGTCCCAAAACCAGAAAAAGGATTATTTCGGCCGCAGGACAAGTCTCCTCACCGAAGAGCGCAAACAAGAGAGTCTCCTCGAAAATCACAAGAAAAGAATCGAGCAAATCGACCGGAAAATCAACCCTTTGATGAAATCCGAGAGTGCTAGTGCTATTAAACCCAAACCGGAAACGCCAAAAATCGACCGGAAAAACTGGAATTGTCCCAAGTGCTCGATCGAGAATGACTACTGGAGGATCATTTGTCACGTCTGCTCGACTATCAAGCCGTATTTTGATGATTTTTCCGCCACTAAATCGGAGGAAAAACCACCGGAAAAACCCCCAGAGAAAGCCTTCGAACGAGCGAAGACTCAAATCGGATTTTCGGCTCTTGCATCATACAATCTCAAGAAAAAAATCGAAAAGTCGGTCTCACTTGACGAAGAAAAGGTTGACAAAAGTGAAGAACGGGAAAAATTGAAGAAAATGTTGATTGAAATGAAGAATTCTCTCCCGAAACGCAAGTCAAACATTTTAATGAAGCAGAATAGTCGGCAGAGTGTCATTGAAGAGAATCCGGAACAAGACGAAAAAACGGAAGATAAGTCACAAGAAGAAAAAGTTGTGGAAATCATTATTGGAACCACTGAGACAATTTACGAAAATATTAAAGTGAAGAAAAGTGAGACTCCAAAACCGGTCAAAATTTCGGTTTCGGCTCAAACAAGTGCTGTCCAACTAGACAAAAAAGGTGATTCAGAGTTGTCTGAAAAAACACCAAAGCCAATTTTACGAAAAGAGACCACAAAATTTGAACAAGAAAAGAAGTCCAAAGAAGCCTCAAAGCCTGAACATGAAGGAAAAAACAATTTGGAGGCCACAAAAATGGAACAAGAGAAGAAAACTAATTTTGAACTGATGAGACCAAAAGACTTTGAGAGCATCTACAGTGATCCTAATGGCCAATCCCCGGCCCGTATTTACGCCAATTTGGCCCGAAATGACGAACTCTCTTTGTTTTTCAACATGCCGAAACGCTTAACCGACTTGAAAAATAATCTTCAAGATGACAAAAATACCGATACGATTGAAATCAACCGCCTTTTGAGACGATTAGAAACTTCGATAGCTAAAGGGGAATTGACTGAAGCGGCCATTTATGCCAAAGAATTGGCCCAATTGAAGGTAAATTGTTCGGTGGTGAGGCAAAAACCGGTGAATTCCAATGGTAAAAAGCAAGGATTTAGGTAAGTCTCATTTTTGGTGTAACTTTTCTAAGAGTTTTTTGCAGTATTGAGATGTTTGTGGAGGATAAAATTTCGCATCGCGGGCCTTTCCCACTTGAAGTCACCGAAAATCAGACTGTAGCCGAGTTGAAAACACAAGTTGAGAGAGAGTTTGAAATTCCGGTGAATGTCCAGAGGTGGATTTTGGGAAAGGAGTTGGTCACTGATGATAGTTCGACTTTGAAGGATCACAAAATCACAACAGAGAGATGTCCTGTGTTTTTGTATCTTGTGGCGCCAGGTAAATGATTTTTTCTTATTAAAAATCTGTACTAATCACGATTTTTAGACGGGAAATCTGAATGTAAAATTAGCAAAAGTGAAGAAGTGCCAAGTACCTCCAAAGAGAAAGTTGTAGTGAATCGAATTCCAAAAATTGTTGAAGTTATTCCAAAAGTTATTCAAGAGAAGAAAATTGAAGTTAGGAAAAGTTTAGTCGAACCTACTCCAACTACTAGTACTAGTCAATTGAAGAATGAAGATTCTAATAAGTTGGCTGAACCGGAGGAAGACTTGGAAGACTACGACTCAAAAACCCTCAAACCGGGAGAGTGGGAATGCCATTTGTGCACTCTTTTGAATCCAATTTCGAGCAACATTTGTGCCGTTTGTGCCACTGTGAGACAGAAAGACTTGTCCCCTATAAAACGCTTTTCGAAGAAAAAGGCTCCTCAGCCCCAAGCCGACCAAACTTACCTCCAATTAGTCAATTTAGATAATAAAGATTTGGTCGAGAATCGTGAACCTTTCGAATGCCTTGTCTGTTTCATGGAAATAGCACCTGGTGATGGTGTAACGTTGCGAGAATGCTTGCACCAGTTTTGCAAATTTTGTTTGGCTCACACTGTAGAATATACAGAGGATGCGGAAGTGAAATGTCCCTACAGAGACGAGCAATATTCCTGCAATATAGCCCTGCAAGATCGCGAAATCAAAGCATTAGTGACACCCCAAATCTACGAGCATTACCTTGCAAAATCAGTGTCTGAAGCTGAAAACAAAATCGGAAAAAGCTTCCATTGCAAAACCCCGGACTGTAAGGGTTGGTGCATCTTTGAGGATAATGTGAACGAGTTTCGGTGTCCCGTTTGCAGGAAAATGAACTGTCTGACGTGTCAGGTGAGTCTTTGGTTTGTTTGAAGTGCAAATGTTTGAATGTGTTTCAGGCAATTCATTCAGGACTCAATTGTAAGCAATACCAAGAAAAAATGACTCAGGAATCTGAAGTTGATGAAGACGCGCGAAGGACCAAGGAAATGGTCAATGAAATGGTGAAAAATGGTGAAGCTTTAACTTGTCCGACTTGCCAAGTGATATTAATGAAAAAATGGGGCTGTGATTGGGTCAGATGTTCGATGTGTAAAACTGAGATTTGTTGGGTGACGAGAGGGCCGCGTTGGGGGCCCGGCGGAAAAGGGGACACTTCCGGGGGGTGCCAGTGCGGCGTCAACGGGGTCAAGTGCCACCCAAAGTGTAGTTATTGTCACTAAATGGTTTCCTTCGAGCATTTGTAATAATTAAGCGAATATGTTTTTAGCGTTTTTTAATGAAATTAGATAAGTAGGAATTGACTGATGCCTGACAAACTGCCTTATATAATAACATTACTTAAAATTTAAATAAAGAATAAAACACAGGAATAAAAAAAATGTTTTTTTTTTCAATATGTGGTTTTGAATAAAATAAGAATTGGCACTTTTTCTTACTAGATTTTTTTTGTTAAACATTTAAACAAAAAAAATATTATTTTATTTTTTTTATAAATGTAGGTAAATTATTTGTGGTGAGCGCTATTCTTAAGTGGTATTTGAGTAAATTATTATTTTTTTGTGTTATATTTGGCTGTAATTTTGATTGTGGCGCTACAAATTCGCGCGCATGCGACTTCGAATGTTTACCAGCGCCGCCGACCGCCGGTTTGTTTGCAAATTTTTAGGTTAAGTCGTAAAGCCAACGTTTCTTTAATTTTTCGTGTTTGAAAGACTCCAAAATAAACCGTCCAAGATGGTAAGCCACCCCCACACCCACCATTACCCATTTCCAATCAATTCTTTTACAGACGATGGGGAAAAACAACAAAATGTTGCAACACATCAACTACCGAGTCCGGATAACTCTCCAAGACTCCAGGACATTCATCGGCACATTCAAAGCCTTCGACAAACACATGAACATGATCCTCGGCGACTGCGAGGAATTCCGCAAAATCAAACCGAAAAATTCTAAAGTAGAACGCGAGGAAAAACGCGTTTTGGGTTTTGTCCTGTTACGGGGCGAAAGCATTGTTTCTTTGACAGTTGAGGGTCCCCCGCCCCCGGAAGAGGGCTTGCCCCGCGTTCCCATTCCGGGTGCAGCCCCTGGACCGGGCATTGGCCGTGCCGCTGGTCGTGGAATGCCCGCGGGAATGGGCGGCGTACCTGTGGGGCTGCAAGGCCCGGTGAGGGGTGTGGGAGGACCTTCACAGCAGGTTATGACTCCTGGGGGTCGTGGCCAGGTTGCAGCGGCCCCACAAATGAGCCAGGGGCCGCCTAGGATGGGTGGGCCGCCACCAGGGATGATGGGACCACCACCGGGTATGATGGGAATGCCGCCAGCACCCATGGGAATGGGGCGTGGAGGACCGCCGCCGCCGATGGGAATGAGGGGACCGCCTCCGGGAATGATGCGGGGAGGGCCTCCGGGGCCCCCGCGACCATATTAGTGTAGTTTTTTTTAATTGTATTCAATTGTAATTTTGGTGGAAATAAACTCTAACTTTAATACTATTACTGAGTGATTTATTGTTAATTGATTTTGAATTTTAAAAAAAGACTCGCTTACGTTTGATTATTTTGGGGTTTTTGTTGGTTGAGGTTGGTACTGCTCAGAGTACGCCATCTTTGTACACTTCCGGCGCCATCCTTTTCCTCTAATGGTAGAAACATGACGGGGTTTAGTGAGAAGGTAATTCATTTATTTGTGTTTATCACATAAATAATTACAAAAAGTGGCTATAAATTGTTTGAATTTTCTATTTTTTGTTGTTTAAAAGTGAGGAAAGGCACATTTTGCGTACAAAATTGCATTTTATGTTTTATAACCTCATCATTACATTCGACACGTGTTGGTGAGTTTTAACCGAATTTTTCTTTTTTCAGGCCATTCTGATCGATGGCAGAGGCCATTTACTTGGTCGTCTTGCAGCAATAGTGGCAAAAACACTATTGGAAGGAAACAAAGTGATTGTTGTGAGATGTGAACAATTAAACATCTCAGGAAATTTTTACAGGTAGTATCCATATTTTTTTCTATTTACGAAATAATCAATGAAAATTTTTCAGAAATAAACTAAAATATTTATCGTTTCTTCGTAAACGTTGCAATGTAAACCCAGCGCGTGGCCCTTTCCACTTTAGGGCCCCTTCGAGGATTTTCTGGAAGACAGTCAGGGGTAAATCTCTTCTTATTTACTTTTACTTTTAGTTAATTTACAATGATTAGAATGATCTTACCTACATTATTTGATTAGCGATGATAAGACAATCCGACAATGAGTTTATTATTTAATAGTAATTGAACTTTTGACAAGAATGAGGGATTAAAAAAGTGTTTTTAAGGTATGTTGCCACACAAGACAGAACGTGGGAAGCAAGCTTTGCGCCGGTTGAAGACTTACGAAGGTGTGCCTCCACCATATGACCGCAGGAAACGTGTCGTAGTCCCTGGGGCCCTCCGTGTGATTTGCTTGAAACCAGGCCGCAAGGTAAGCCCTCATCCTTTTTTAAAGATTTCTATTATCTATTTTTTTGATTTGGTAATTATTTTTTAAATAAAATTGCAGTTCTGTCACGTGGGACGCTTGTCTCACGAAGTGGGGTGGAAATACCAATCGGTGGTTCGCACACTTGAGTCTAAACGCAAAGTTAAGGCTGTCCTTAGTATCCGTAAACGTGACAAGCTCAAGAAGCTTACAAAAGAGGCCTCAGCTAAGGTCACTAAACAAGTGGCTCCATTCACAGCTGTCATTAACTCTTATGGTTATAATTAAGGACGTTTATTAAAAAAAAGTGACTTTGATAATTGTTTTATTATTTTCACACCTTATAATAAATAATTCACATGATATCATCAAATTGAGTAAACTTTAGAGTACTAGAAATTTTCATCCCAGCCACTTGTTTCTTCCGGGGGACAATCGTTATCTTTTTTGAATTGTTCAAAATATCTCGTGTCGGTGTTGGACTTGAGTTTGGGTTTAAACGGCGCTGTTAGCTTGCCTTCGTTGAGTTTGACCCAATCAAAGCCCAGGAACCAACGATGGGACTTAATATCTTTAACTCCGTTCCTCTGACACCCTAATCGTTCACTGGGAATGGCCCTACATAATTTCTCGATAATATTCCGGGCTTTGGACGAGACGTAACTCGGGAATTCGACACTGTCAATTCCGGTTAAAATTTTATTGTAAGTCCTCATGTGACTTGCATCGTTCGTCCGGAATGGAGTCCTTCCAGTCAACAGCTCGAAAATGAAAATACCAAAAGCCCAATAATCGACACTTTTATCGTGTCCTCGACTTAAAATAATTTCAGGGGCGACGTATTCGGGAGTTCCTGCGAATGTGAATGTTCGACCTCGGGCCCCCAGGCGTTTGGCGAATCCGAAATCTGTCAGTTTTACATAACCGTGTTCGTCTATGAGCAAGTTCTCCGGTTTCAGGTCTCTGTAGACTATATCTCTTTCATGAAGGTATGTAAAAGCTTCAAGGACACACCCAGCGATGAACCTGGAGTCTTTCTCGTCGAAACGGCGCGTTTTTTGCCTCTGGAGGAGGGTCCACAGGTCGCCCCCCAGACACGACTCCATGAGGAAATAAATATACCGTGCGTCCTTATAACTCCTATAAAGTCGTACAATGAATTTCGAGCGACACTCTAACTGGATGTTTCGCTCGTTGTAAACGTGTTCCTGTTGGTTTTGCTCGACCATATCAAACTTTTTTAAGTATTTTAGTGCGAAGATAAGATTTTTGGACTTGTGTTGGACGAGCTCGACGCGTCCGAATCCTCCAACTCCTAGCGTCGTCAAAATGGTTAAATCTTTGAGTTCGATGTCTTGGTGTTCGCGCACGATTTCGCTCTTTTTGGGCCCCGCCTTGGGGGTGTACTCCACGGTTCCGCCTTCTGTTATTTTTCCGAAGTGGTCTCGGAAATGTTGCCGCTTCAATGTGAGGCATTCCACCCCTTCGGGGGCGTCGGCCGTAACTGTAGCTTGGCGGAACTCCTCGTCGAGGAGGGCCAATTCGCCGAAATACTTTCCCTTGCCGTAGTTCCCCACTACGCCTTCGCCCTCCTTTGAGATGGTCACCGTCCCAGCCCGAATTATGTAAAACTTGTCTCCTCGGTCACCCTGCTTCACTATTGTAGCTCCCGGAGGGAAATACTTGACTTTGAGCAAAGTCGTGACTTTTTGGAGGACTTTAGTTCCGACTTTATTCAAAGTTGGAACGTTTTCGAGGAAGGTGAGCATCTCATCCTGCTCCTTGATGTTAAATCGGACCATCAGTTTCTGATATATGGACCTGTCCAAAACCCAGACTTTCCCGGCTTTTATCGCTCTAATCGTCGCGTTTCTTTTATCATTATACAGGATTGCCATTTCACCAAAAATTCGGATGTCTTCGAATGTATTCACCACTCCTTTGCTCTTGACGGAGACTTCGTATTGGCCCCCGGCCGAGACATACATGTGAGTCCCCTTCTCGCCTTCTTTTATTATAATTTCGTTTGATTTGACCTCGCGTGGGTACATGGCATCGACCACTTCTTTCAACAAATCCCCCTTTAAAATCTTGTTAAGGAAATCGCTCCGTTCGACCGCTTCCCGAATCAGTTTTTCATCCCTGCAAAGAAATTCAAAATTAGTAGGGAATTTTGCATGCAAGGTTGGTGTTAGATGAGAGTGAGGTTAAGTTTGGCGGGTTTCAAGTTGTTCTGTTTTGTGTTTTAAAAAAGTTAAGATGCCTCCAGCGGCTAAGAAACATTGCTCGGTTATTTTATTTGACCTTAAGGCTAAAAACCGTGCAACGGCGATTCAAACGTTGCTGAAAATTGCGGCTACAAATTATTTCTTGAGTTCCAAGGATTTAACAAAACTAATTTTGTTGAATTCGGACACGACTGAAAATCGTTTGAATGCACAATACGGGGGGTATGAACACGTAAATGAAGTTATGAAGGATATTACGACTTATAATCCGAAAATACTTAACGATCTGGTTGAAAGTAAGTTTTTGTGTGATTGTAATGTTGTGTAATGTTTTTATAAGGCAGGGGCACCGGTGAGGCAAACTGGTTAGAAGGGTTGCACGTCGCTGCTGCAAATTTGGCTGAGGAATTTGAAGGAGTTTGTGGAATTGTCACGTATCAGTTATTATTTATAACAGATTTGAGTTTGTCTCCGTCCACCGTTGATAACTCTCTAATTGACAAAATAGCACAATTACTGAATCAGTTTGGGGCTTTTTTGTACGTTGTAGGCCCCGAAATTGAGCCCTCATTTACTATAAAGTCGCCCCAAGACATTAAAACCTGGATGAAGAAACTCCAAACAAAAGACCAAAATATTGCCACTATTAAGACCCTCATTTCGAAAATTAAAAACGGAGTTGTTTGTGATTCCAAAATGGGGGCAAATTTATTTTTTTCGTTTCGTAACTGGGCCGGGTCGCAGCCATGGAACGTCCCATTGGAGATTGGCAGTAATATCAAAATTCCCGCCAAAACAATGAAAATATTGAATGAAATAGTTCAATGCAAGTTGGTTTTGTCACAAGGGGCGATTAAGCCGTCAATTTGGTGAGCAAAAACGCATTTTTGTCAATTTTTGTTACGAAAAAACGTTAGGGTTGACGCTGAGGATGAGTCAATTGAATTCGATGTCAGCGAGGTTATTAATGGCATAACGCGACACGAAAAATTCGTCCCAATCAACAACAACAAAATGTTTCAAGTTGAAAATCCGCGCAGTTTCAACGTTTTGTGTTTCACCGATGCGTCGAATGTCTCTGAGGTGATTTTCAAGTCGCACGCTAGCGTGGGATTTACTTGTGTTTTGTAGCACTTGATGCGAGGCGGGGGGTGTTATTGCGTCTTGCCGAATGCTAGTTCGGAAAAAAATGAAGCTTTTAATTGTTTGGTTGATTGTCTAGCGCAACAAAACAAATACGTAATCGCTCGACGTGTCTATAATAATAATTATGTGCCAAAGATTGTGGTTTTGGTGCCGAAACCAGATTATAATCCGAAATGTTTTGTTATGACTTCGTTGCCGTTTGCTGATGACATTAGGTTGAATTGTAAGGAGAAGAAAGTTGGCTCGGCACCGAAAATCGATGTAAATGAGAGTGTTTACAAATTTTTGGACACTTTAGACACGGATATTGCGAATTCGCTTAAAAAAGTCCCACTAGATATTACAATGATGCAGAATGTGAACGTCCAGAGGATTGTTAATAAAACCGTGGATAAATTGTTGGGTAAGTTCGTAAATTTGGGGCCAAATCAATGATTTGTTGTTTTTTTCACAATAGGTAAACAGTTGAATTTGGAGGAAATAGATTTAGATTTGATGGAAATGCCCTCTGGGGAAGATATAGAACAACTGAAAAATAGTTGGCCTGAACGAAAAATCGAAGAAGTTAAGAAAAATGAAGAGCCCACGGCTGATGTCTCTGATGATGATGACTTTGATTGGGATTAAACTGTATTTTTCTCTGAACATTATACTTACTCTTTTGTTTTCGGGTGTTTTTCAATGTCTTCTGACGAGTTTTCGTCAAAATTTGTTGGTAAAGGAATAAGACCCGGCCTTCGCTCACTCCCTTCTTCTGGTTCGTGGTTCACTTTTACACTTTCTCCAGTCGAGTCGATTTGAGTATCGGTTGAAATAGTGTCCGAATCGGGGACGTCGGGGGGCGGAGTTACAGATGAAGGCGGATCTTCGTTCTTTTCTGGCACGGGTGGAGGCGGAGCTTTGCTTGTTTTTGAGCCAGGTAAAGGCGGAGTTTTACTCGTGGGTGTAATAGTTGACGGCGGAGTTTCTGGTTCTGGTTTCACGGGTTGAGGTGGTTTTGGTTTTCGTGTGGTTCCATTTTGTTTGGGCACATGGTTGAAACTGTCTTGGATGACATAAGTTTTGCTTTTGCCAAATAGACTTGAGCACCACATTTTCCGTCGCGATTACCGTGTGCTAAATACCGAGCGATTACTTACGTGAAGTAGTTTATTGAGACAAAAATTCCTCGAACGTGAATTGCCCTGATTAGATTAGTGGTAATTGTATTTTGGTGTCATTACGAAAGGGCGAAATATTTATTTCGATTTTTTTTTCGCAAAATTAGTACACTACACTAGTTTATTATACGCTCGGCAAACTTGAATAACAAACACGTAATTGCAGCCTTCGTGCGTGTTTGAGTTGTAAATATCTGACTGAAAGTATCGTTTTCTTATCACGAGGTACTCATTATTTAAGATAAGATTTCAGGTTTCTTACAATACTGCACTTTTTGCAATGTTTTACTGCCGTTTAATACAACACTCACTTTGTAGACTATTAATTTGCGATATAATCATCCAATTGACGACACAAAAAATATAATTTTTTCTTACATTGCAAAATTATCATAGGTAAATACATGTTGCCTTGAATTAAACGTAATGTTCTAGGTCACAAATGAGTCACTTTAATCGTGCAACAAAAAGTACGAAATTGCACGTTTTTGTTTTATTGTTGACTGAACTCAATTTCGGTGACAAGTGTTCATTTTTTCATAGTTTCAACATCCTGAAATGATGATGATACACCTGAGATAAAATTATATTAACAATTTCGGTTTATCCGTTTGTCATTTTATTATCAATATGTTGAAATCAAGGAATGCAGTTATCTAGAAAAAATAGTTTGTTTTATTGTGATTGCTGGCATTTACCTATTGTGACGAAAAAAATACTTTTAGGTGAATCATTTTGATCGAATTTTTGCTTTCTTTGCTGTGGCGGCGTTTTTAAATAATCATAATTTATCTAAACGAGGGAAAGTCTCTTTAATTTATTGAGTACTTTACTTTTTGCTGATTTTTTTGATTTGACCATCAAAAAAATTAAAGTTGTTCCACTTGGAGTTAGAGCATATTTCTTATCAATTTTTTGATTGATGAATTTCAATATTGTTTAAAATTCAAAATTAAACATGACGATATTTTGACCTGACAATTTGTAATTTACTTACTTTTATTGTTACATTTAGTCATCATTACAAAATCATAAATATCAGTTGTTTCTTGTGCATGTTTAGAGTGGGGTAAAAGCTAAAAGTATATACAGGGTGATTCACAAGGAATAATGAGCCTGACCAAATTCTCGATGCATTACATTTGTCTCAAAGCAACTTGCTAAAAGTGGTTACATCAGGATCATTATTCCTGGTGAATCACCTTGTATAAAAGTGTATACTTACAGCTTTTACCTCACTCTTGCTGATTTTTTTTTGTTTGATTATTATCAAAAGTTAAGTTATTGCACTTGTTAAAACAAGATTTCTTATCATTTTTTTGATTGATTTCAATACTGTGTTCCAAATTTAGTAATCTACGTCATAACTGATGTAGCTGACATAAAAAAATTAAAATGTATTGTTGGTTGTCTACCAAAGTTCAAATTTGTGGAAAATGAAAATACTTAAAACTACAGTTGGGACTTTATAATAAATATAATAGGCTAAATTTAGGTTAGTTGTGTTTGTTTAAATGGGCCATTCGCTGGCAGGGTTTTGGTAGGTTTGTTATTTCCACCAGGTCCCACACCAAAGATTGGTAACAGTAGGAAAATTCTCGTAAACGTATATTCTCGCCTGCGAGAAATCGAGAAAGTGACACTTATGACAGTATTTTGACATTTGACAAGAATTATGTTTTTTTGATGGTGATGTGTGCCCCCGCCGGTTAATTCAAGTGTTTAATACCCACATTCTCTTTTTCAAATCACGTACTTTGGTCTCTACATTCCACAATGTCGAATTTAAGGTTAGTTTTAATTCTGCTCGTCGTTGGTTCCTCGTGGGGGCACGAGCACGGCCATTCGCACGACGAGTCCCCTTCATTCAAGTATTCCAAAGCAGCAAACGAGAAGTTTCATCACCCCGAACCGGAACATCACAGTACTACATCCGAGTTGTGGCTGCAAGCCATGGGGTCAACTCTCCTCATCAGTGCAGCCCCCTTTTTTATTCTGTTCTTCGTTCCACTGGACAGCACCGACCAGGAACAGCCCCTTCTGAAAATACTACTAGCGTTCGCTTCTGGGGGCCTGCTGGGGGACGCCTTCTTACATTTGATCCCACATGCGGCTATGTCCGTCGAGAGCCCCCATTCGCATTCCCACGATCATGAACACGGACATGATATGTCAGTGGGGCTGTGGGTTTTGGCGGGGATCGTCACGTTCCTCTTGGTGGAGAAAGTTGTGAGGATCGCCAAAGGGGGCCACGGGCACAGCCACCACAAGAAAAACGACGAAAAAAAAGAGAAATCAAAGTCGGGGGGCGACAAAGCACAGAAAGTCGATCCGAAAGAAATAAAAGTTGCGGGTTATTTGAATCTAGCCGCCGATTTTAGTCACAATTTCACAGATGGGTTGGCAATAGGGTCGAGTTATCTGGCGGGGAATACCGTAGGGTTGATAACAACAATCACTATTTTATTACATGAGGTCCCGCATGAAATTGGCGACTTTGCGATTTTGCTCCAGTCGGGGGTGTCAAGGAAAAATGCGATGTTGTTGCAGTTGACTACTGCTTTAGGGGCTCTATTAGGGACTGCGATTTCGCTCTTGGCGCAAAACAGCCTCATGGCCACCCAGTGGATCCTCCCCTTCACGGCTGGGGGCTTTATTTACATAGCGTTGGTATCTGTGATTCCCGAATTGTTAGATGAAGAGAAACCTAGTTTTACACAGACTGTCTTTCAAGTAGCTGCCTTGTTAGGGGGTGTATTTATGATGGTTTTGATCGCAGAATATGAATGAATACCTAAATATGTAATGGTTTTATTGTTTCCTTTGTACTTATAGTACGTTTCTACAATAAATATTATTTTCCTAAAACCAATCTAATTTGGTCAAAACAGTAGTTTGCTTGTTCAACTGATTCGTTATTTTCGAATTTTTTCCCTGAAAATAAAAAAAATACCAACTAGAAGTTGGCCATCCTGTCAATAATTACCCAATTTCCACGCCTCCTTACAATACTTTTCTGCCTCCTTGGCTACGCCTTTTTCTAGAAGAATTAAACCTAAGTTGGCATGAATTACGCCCAAATGTGACTTGTCTTCGACCTCGCGCCCCACTGTGATAGCCTCCTTTAAGTATTCTTGTGCATTATCCATGTCCCCAGCTCGAAAACTGGTCGTCCCTAAATCATTCAAAAGCAACATGCTTTGTTCACTGTTCCTCCCCTTGGTTCTTTTACACGCATTGTAAGCTTCTCTCAAATGGACCAAAGCCTTAGGAGTGTCCCCCACGTCTAGCAGAAACTGTGAATACCAATCCTGAATAATCCCATACAGCATTTGAGCGTCAACACTGTCATTTTGATGTGCCTCAATTTGCTCAAGACACCACTTGTACCCAAGGTCGGCTTTTTGAATTTCAGCCTTCAATTGCGAGATTCGCGCCAGTTTTAAACTAATATGAATGACCTTTAAATCTTTCTGGTCCAAACCGCCCCCTAGTAACAACTGCAAAACACTGACAAATAATTTCTCAGCTTTATCTAATTGAAACGTGTCCAAAGCCAAATTTGCCATCAGGTCGTAACAGTAGATGACCCCTTGCTGGTTTTGCTGCTGTTGGGCTAGCCGTAGGGCCAAATGTAACATTTGTTCGGCCTTCTCATACTGCTCCCTTTGCGTGCACAAGACTGCCCTTTTCAGGGTCATTATCAGCTCTGATTCTTTCTCTTCATCGTCTTTTTCGAAACCGAGCCACGACAAGAGGCTTAAACCCACCGCGAAGCCGGTTTCTTTCGGATAAGCCCACTTTTTCGGACATAACCTCAATGTCGGGGTCCGCAAAATCGGAACTGTCACTCTATTGTTAACAATTTTATAAAAAATCCCTTGGTTTTTGATTAATTTAAACACATTTCTGCAGGCCATAACGTTTTATTCGGTGCGAAAATAATTTATTTACATTTTGTTTGTCATAATTGATGGCGTACTGCGTTTAGATCATTTGTAAACATACTCGTATTCCCCGTCTCCGGGCCAAAAGTCCTCATCGCTGGTGCACGTTTCCGACCTCCGGGGCCTCAATCTGGGTATCCTCATTCTGGACGTGAGGGGTAAATTTTTCGAGAATTTTTGAATTCGGCGCGTGACATCGGTGGCGAACGGTCGAATTCCACTAGAAAATTTAAAAAGTAGCGCGAAATTGCATTTTTTTAACTTACCAAGACAATAGCTGCAAATTAATCATTCTGGTTGCGTGCAAAGCCGCCACAAGTATGAGGAAACTCATCAGATAGCTCGTGAACATTCCTGTTCCTTCCATTTTTAACACATCGCAAGGGAAATTGCATCTCATGTCAACTCGCATAAGGATTTCTTCAAGAGTGGACGCCAGTTTCGGCAAAAATGCCAAAATAGCCGTTTCAAGCGGGAACCAAAAGCATCCCATGATGTATTCGATCAGAAACACGGCAATTAAATACTGTTTGGAATGATTTGAATCGTTTCGTGCTCATAAAGCGGTTTTACCTGTGCAAACAAATTCGCGAATGAGACAAGCTTGCGCAGTCTTCGGGGGTACAACGGAAGACTCCATAGCACCAAAGAAAGGGCGAGCAAGACGGCCAATGACGAGATCAGAGGTCCACAACCGGTCAAATCGGGTTTTTTGAACACGTAAATGCTGAAAGTGTACTGCAATGCAGCGAGAAAGACCGACCAAAATTTAGCCATTTCGCAAAAAATTTTGAGTGACACTGTCAGACACCAACTTTGTGTTTTTTGCAAATTGGAGAAAAAATCAAATTCTCCTGAATTTTACATAGGAAAACTCCTGAAGCGTGCTTTTACCCCATGAATTGTAGATTAAAGGGGATGAGGGTGTGATAAGAGTGGCTGGTGGCTACTTGTTGCATTTGCAAGCACTCGGTTGTCTTGGTTACCGTTTTCAGGAGTCGGAAGAGCTTGAAAGCGAGCTTAAAAGCTCGAGCTTTCCATAAAAAGGAAATTAATTATTGGGGGTGGGAGGGAAGAAAGAACATTATTCGCGCATTCGAAGGGTTATTGTTGATGTGTAATTAATTTTATCGAGGGCTTAGAGAGCTTCCGGGTGAAGTGGTGATAAAAAATGGGAAGAAATTACAATTTTATTGGAGGAGGATTATGTTTATGTTTATTGTTAAGTTTATGAAGGTAACAGATTTGCAAAAATTAGTTTTCAATTTTAGTTGTCGTCAGGCACGTAGAAATAAATAAAAAGCGACATTTGGGTTTTTTAAGAATAGTTTTGTTATTAATTAATTTTTGAACTGGAAAAAAATGGGTGGAGAGGGAAACAAGTATGAAAAAAACAACAATAGATAATAAGCAGTGATACATAATATGTATTGAGTCAGATTATTAAATTTTTTTAAAGTTACACCTAATTATTAAAAAAATTAGTGCTTTAAAAAATGTGAGCATACCGATTATTTTATTGAAGAAGAGATCCTAAAAAATTATAGAAACTGTACAAACAAGACTCAAATAGTAAAAAAAAGATAATTATTTCTAAAATGGTGGAACAAATCTCTTGAAATTGCTTATAATTGCTCAGATTGTGTCTCAAACAAAGCCGCTTTGTTGCACATATACAGAGTCGAGCACAAAAACCAACAATCATGACTAATCATGTTTACACCTCAATTAAGAAGTAACGATGGAGAAAATTTCCAAGTCACTATTTTCCCAAAAACCGTCAACAAAAAACCCTAGTTTTATAATTGTGCGGTTTAATCGACTTCCGCGGAAACTTAAAAATTCCACCGTGTTGTTTTTCCTCTCACCACACAATTTTTTCCTTCTCCCTGACTAAAGAAAAGGAGTAATAAATAAACCGGCGTGGACTTTGGACTTATGGCTTGATCCGAGGGTGTAGCTTGCAGAATTCCAAAAATGTAAAAGTAATTCTCGGTGATTTGCTGGTAATGGGACCAGCCCATCGACGTCACGGGGGAATCACGTCTGAAACCGGTCGACTTTCTCGGTACCTCAATATTGTTAATAGAGAGCAATATCCCCGCGATAAGATAAAAATAATAAAATATAAACAAATGTCGCACATATCTTGAAATTCGTTCGGAATCGCCCATTTTTTTGGTCAAAATTCAGTATTGGACGTGGTTGGGTGAAGGGGTTTTGTGATCGATATCAACGGAGGCCCCACTTCTCTTGTCACGGATTTAAAGGCTCGAGCCACTGGTGAATTGACTCTAGTGTTTAGCTGTGATTCGTGTCGGGTGATTCGACTCCTGTTGCTTCTGCAGGATAATTGCATCTGAAATGGAAGCTAATCAGTTCAAGGATTTCGCGAAGGAGATGATCGATTACGTCTCCGGGTATCTGGAGAATATTAGAGACAGGTGAGCGATGATGATGGCATTGGAAAGTGAAGAGAAACTGTCTTTGAAACATTTTGGAGTGTGAATGATAAGAATTGTGATATGGAACGGCTATTTTCAATAATATTTCACAACAAACGAGTGTTTGTTGAAATTCATGACATACAAAATTATATTCACGACTGTTTTGTTACAAAATCAGTTGAAAGAAAAATTAAGGACTTGTGAATGCACTATTCAGCTTTAATTTGGGAATAATTGAAGGCTGTTATAAGTGCTAGAAGCAGTATAAAATAATTTTTCCATTACAAAAAAAATGTAGAACACAATTAAACTTGTTTTAAGTTGTGTGAAAATATTTTTTATAATATTTTATTAATAATAATAAATTACATAAATGATAACAACTTTTTTTTGTATTTCTTTGTTAGCCGATCATTTGCTAAAAAATTATTCATAAGTAGAAGAAAGTTTCCTTAATCATAAATATTATTTACAATAAAGAAGTTTCATATTTGTTAATTGATTATTCACGGTTTTGCCACTCGTTGAATAATTATTATTCTTAATTTTTAATTTTCATGAAAGAAACTGAATGTGTTACGTAAGCAGAATTACAAAAATTTTATGCAATTTTCAACATTGATAAACGTATTAAATTACAAGTATCCAGGCTGTCCTAGCGAGTTGAAAAAGTCCTTTAAAAAAATGATATAGGACATTGATAGATACTAATCTAGTGCATCGCTTAAAATTATTTTCAACTATACAGCGTGTCTCAAAAATAGGTTACAAATATAAACTTGTGTTTTTTTAAATGAAACATCATATGCTTCTTAGCGTTTTTGGATGTAGATTTGTATGACAATGTTTTTAAGCTAAGCTTTTATTGGTCGATTTTGCTTAGTTTTAAAATTAAGACGTTTTTTTTGACAAAAACATGCACTTTTTAAAAATTTATTACACAAAAACTAAGACATCTAGAAATATTTTTTTAAGGTTGTAACATTTTTTTAGTGTGTTGCATTTGCAAAGATAAAAAATGAAGGCGTTTGTTAAAAGTTCAATAACATAAAAAATTTAAATAAAACACCCTATTTATTGTTTTTGCATTTAAATGATTATTAAATTGTCTTTCTAAAATTATTTAATTTTAGGTGTTTATAATCGATAACTAAAAAGATATTTAACGTTAAACATTAAAAAAAATAATTACTATTGTTTCAGTAGCCAAAAAGTGCACAGTTGCACAAGAGATAGAAGAAATATCACTTAATAATCACATTTGTGAACTTACTCTTTATTTTTACTATTTATTTTTTTAGATAGACAATTTATCAATCTATTAGATGCAACAATAAAAAATAGAGTGTTCCATTTAAATTTTGTAAGTTATTTAACTTTTAATAAACTTCTTCATTTTTTAATCTTTACAAATGCAAAACAGTAAAAAATTTCTACAGCTTTAAATTCTGTACTTTCTTTTTTGCAGCAGTAAGAAAAAAATTGTTCTAGCTGTCTTAATTTTTGTGTAATGAATTTATAAAAACTGCATGTTTTCGTCAAAAAAAACCTTCTTATTTCTAAAACTAATCGAATCGACTAATAAAAGTTTAGCGTAAAAGCATTGTTTTAAAAAGCTACTTCCAAAAATGCCAAAAAACATACTGTGTTTCATTTAAAAAAACACAAGTTTGTATTGTAACTTATTTTTGGGACATGCTGTATAGTATCTATTAATGTCCTACTCAATTTATTTTTAATTGTACCATTTAAAGGTCACTAATGGACTTTCTCAACTCGTTGGGACAGTCGGTATAAAAACGTATTATGACAAAAGTGTCTAATAATAATATAAAATATGTTTTAAATAAAGAGATTTTAGTAAAGTTAACCAAAAATAAAATTGCTACCTAGAGATTACTCTAGATATTCATAGAATACGAGTATATTTTTTTAATTAATAAGATTTCTGTTTCTATTTCTCGCAGGATTGTTTTGTAGAGACGTAAAGAGCTGAAATTGTTGAAAAAGCTTATAATTCTTTCAGGATTATTTTCATTTAGTTAGCATTAATGTGTGAACAAAAAATTAATAAATAATTATGCATTTTCAGACAATTCAAAAATTACGATGATTTCGTGCGAATTTGCATTGTCTCTATTTTTAGCACAATTTGGTATAAATTTGAATTTTTAAATCCATTTCAAGGCAGGAGAACGTCTAAATCTTAATTAAACATAAAAATTGCAAAAATTAATTCAATTAAGTTGTTCTTATGTAATTCAACAAGGTTACTCTTCAAATAATAAAAAATGCAAATAAATTTGATTGACACTCATGCAAGTTTTGTTTTTTTCTTGCTAGACGTGTATTACCCACTGTTGAACCGGGGTATCTTCGCCCTCTAATCCCGGCCTGCGCCCCCCAAAAGCCGGACAAATGGGAGGACGTGATGGCCGACATCGAACGTGTCATCATGCCGGGGGTAACAAAACTAATTTTAACTGAATTCGAGTTGAATTAAATCAAAAAATAATAGGTAACACATTGGCACTCGCCCCGGTTTCACGCCTATTTCCCCACTGCAAACTCCTACCCTGCTATCGTGGCCGATATTCTCAGCGGTGCCATCGCCTGCATCGGTTTTTCCTGGGTAAGAAACCCGTTTCCTTGTTACCAACCCTTATAAAAAAAAATTTAGATTGCTAGTCCCGCCTGCACTGAATTGGAAGTCGTGATGTTGGACTGGTTGGGCAAGATGATCGGCCTTCCTGAAGACTTTCTGGCTTGTTCCGGGGGCAAAGCCGGCGGCGTGATCCAAGGGACGGCTAGTGAAGCCACTCTGGTAGCCCTGTTGGGGGCCAAGGCTCGCATGGTCGATCGAGTGAAGAAGGAAAAGCCGGAAATGAGCGATTCGGAAATTATCGCCAAACTAGTCGCTTATTCTTCGGGTAATTTAATCGAATTTTGGGGAGTTGAGGTGTTGAGGGGGTTGTTTCAGCTCAGAGTCACTCGTCGGTGGAACGGGCGGGGCTGCTCGGTGGGGTCAAAATGCGCGGGCTCCAACCTGATGATGACAATAGACTCAGAGGCGAAACGTTGGAACTGGCGATCAAGGAAGACCGTGAGGCTGGCCTTATTCCATTTTACGTGAGTCAATACACTCTCTAAAAATCGTAATCGGACAAACCTTGACCATATTATAGTTTCTTAGCGGATATTTTATCATTTGCTTGCGTAATCCCTTGACCGGGTTCCGAGAGAATAATCGCACTTAACAGAATCTGTAAATTTTACAGAATGAGCGATGTTTCTGCCAATTAAAAAAATGTTTTCTTTAATTTAGTTTAAACAGTTATTATTGGCAATCAAAGATAAACTTTAATGTTATCTTTCTTTTTTTCAAAATCAGTTCCAATCTTCAAATTAACAAAAATAGAGCGACAACAGCCCAAGTCAATTTTTTTCAAAAAATAAATAACAGTGATTAACTATAAAAATTAAAAACAAAAACATGTTTTTTGTGATTATTTCAAAAACTGTAAGAGATGGAATACAGGATGTTCGGTCTAAACCGAACTTTAGAAGTATTGGGAGTTTGAATAATCATATTTATTTGAAAATTGATACATAGCTATAATCCATTAAGTCCTCCTAAATGAAAATATTTTCAAGATGACGGCCCTTTCGGTTATACCGGAAGTCGGTCTCAACTTTCTTATTTTAAATAGAAAGGTATATTTTTTACTGCGTTTTTAGATTACTCGGGTTATTTTAAGGGAGTTTTTATCAGCTTTCCCTATACCTAAATTTAGCCGTTTTTGAAATATTTGGAGTTTTCCAAAAAAAAAAAAAAAAATATATGCACTTTTTACATTAAAAATAGGTAACTCTACCACTTTTTAAAATTTTTAATTTGTTTTTTTGCCGTTTGAAAGAGAAAGCTTAGATCTTTCTTCTGATGTTTTCAAATATTGAAAAAAAAAATTACAAACCCCAAAATTTTAACGTTACTTTTGTAATAATTCAAATACCCATTACTCAATTTTTTCAAATGAAATACCCCAATTTTCATTTTACTAAATGGAAGAGCATCGATCTGTATTAACATTCTCTGTACCTAAATTTAATAATTTTTAAGTTAAGTTATTAAAATTTGAAAACACTAGAAGAAAGATCTAAGCTTGCTCTTTCAAACGGCAAAAAACGAATTCAAAATTTTAAAAAATGACAGAGTTACCGATTTTTAAAGTAGAAGGTGCCAATCCAAAAATTTTTGTAAATCTCCAAATACTTCAAAAATGGCTAAATTTAGGTATAGGAAAAGCTGATAAAACCTACTTTAAAACAACCCGATTAATCGAAAAACGTAGAAAAAAATATACGTTTCCATTTAAAATAAGAAAGTTGATACCGACTTCCGGTATAACCGAAAGTATCCTTTCGATTGCCCTTGAGAAAATAGAGTAATTTTTTTTGACAAAACTGAGTTATAGCTGTTTGTTAATCATCATCAATATCAAAAAATCATACTAGCCTTGTAATTTTACAGTTGACAATTTTGAAAATTCTAGAAAACTCTTCAAACCTTTATTCATCTAATGCAAAAAAATTAATCACCTGTCGCAAAGGGTTCAAGAGCTGTCATGTTTTGAATGAACCCCTGAAAATGAAAATTTTGACCAAAAAATTGACATATGTCAAAAACTATGACATATAAGTACCAACAACTAGGTACATTTTACTCAGTTTGAAGAGGAGAATGCAAAAATGCAATAAAAATAGGTGGTTACCATTTAAAATTTTAAAGTTGGTGCCAATTTCTCGTAGTTACGGAACTTCAGCCATTTTGAAAATAATTTAGTTGAACTCAGACTGGTCGATTTGGGTTGTATTCAAAATTTCAAATTTTTATCTGCATTACAAGTTAAAAAGTTTCTAATGCAAGCCCTAAAAGAATCACCTTGTATATTGTTAAAAAAAATATTATAAGTTATGAACAATAATTTACACTTTAGACATAAGTTATTTTAGCTTTTTTGAATATTTAAAAAAATAATGTTTAGGGCCTTTTATTATAAGACAAAATCAAATATCTTTCTGTTAATCTACTAGATCCACTTACAACAAAATGTTCCAGAACATAAAAACCATTTTGGAATGTTACGTAAAATTGTGACATTGGTTTCTAATTAAGAATTTTTGTTTTAAATTATTTCTGAATATTAATCATTTTGGACTTACTCTGTTTCCGTTCTGAGGAACAGAGTTTAGAATAATTGCAGAACAAGTATTTTTTCGGCTACTAGCTATTTTTTAGTTTACAACAGCTAAAATCGTCAAACTCGTGCATTATGAAAAGTTGAAAGAAACTTACTCTTCAACATTATTTTTAAACTTTGTTTTAAATTCAATTCTTTTTATTATTACGAAGCAGGAAGGCAAGGATTATCATTTTTTGGTTGAATGTTTATGTTTGTTTCAATTTTTGACTCATTTTTCCAGGTTGTCGCCACTTTGGGCACCACCTCCTCGTGCACCTTCGACAACCTGGAAGAACTCGGCCCCGTGTGCAACTCCAACGGCGTTTGGCTGCACGTCGACGCCGCTTACGCCGGCTCTGCATTCATTTGCCCCGAATTCCGCTACCTAATGAAAGGCATTGACCGTGCCGACTCGTTCAATTTCAACCCCCACAAATGGCTTTTGGTGAACTTTGACTGCTCCACCATGTGGCTCAAAGACCCCTCTTGGCTGGTGAACGCCTTCAACGTCGACCCTCTCTACCTGAAACACGAACAGCAAGGCGCAGCTCCGGACTACCGCCACTGGCAAATCCCACTCGGCCGCAGATTCCGGGCTTTGAAGCTTTGGTTCGTTTTACGATTGTACGGAATCGAGAATCTCCAAGCTTTTATCCGGAAACATGTGGAGTTGGCACATTATTTCGAGTCGCTGGTGAGAGGAGATGAGCGATTTGAGATAACGGAAGAGGTGGTCCTAGGGCTGGTTTGCTTCCGGTTGAAGGCTTCAAACGAGATTAATGAAGCTTTGCTCAAGAGGTTGAACGGCAGAGGGGTCATTCATTTAGTACCGTCGAAAATCAGGGACGTTTATTTCTTGAGGTTGGCGATATGTTCGAGGTTTACTGAGAAGGGGGATATCGATATTTCGTGGAAAGAAGTCAAGGAGGCGGCCGATGAAGTTTTGAAGAAGTAAATGAAGACAATATAGACTTAGGTTATTTATTAATAGTTGTATATATTTATTGTTGACCAAATGTACCGAGGACCAAATAAACAATCAGCAATCAATTACTTTTATTAAAATACTCGACTAGACACTTCAATTTACTCAAAAAAAATCTAAACAACCGATCCTCTGTTAGATCGAGGGTGGGGGCCCTCCGTATGATTTTGTCAATTGTATCACCCTCTCTGCCTCCCTAATCCCACTCAATCTTGCCCCATGTACCGTGGAATGATGCCCAGCACACGTGGCTTCTCCTGCAAATAACAAAATGGGCGGAATGGGTTCACACGTGCCCGGAACTGGGCAACTCAAGTCACACTGATGTCCCACATGTGAATTCAAACCCATGTAACTGTAAGACCCACAGAAAAATGGGTCTGTTGCCCATTTGGACCTCAATACCGTTGAGGGATACGGCAAAGAGGCATCTCCTGTGAACTGCCTCAAAATCCTAGTGATCCCTTCCGCGACCTCCTCATCACTCGCGTGTTCCATAATGGCCGCCTCCGGGCCGGAAATATAAGCACAAAGGACGTGCTTACTCCCATGCACTTCCTCAATTGCGCTGAGTCCTTTAGTCCAGTCAGTCCTATTGGCGAGTTCATCCGGGGACCAGGCGAAATTAATACCCCCTTCGCACCAAACCCAAAAGGGTCGGTCATAATCGAGAAAGATTTTATCGACGTTGCCGTAGCCAATGTTGTTGATTGCGTCCATTTTGCTGGAGGGGAGAGCGGGGCAGAACATCTTGTCGGCGTGTTCCTTGAGGACTCCCAGGGATACGGTGAGGATGACGTAGTCGGCGGGGAATTCTTGGCCGTCGCAGCATTGGACTACGGCCCGAGGGCCCCCTTTATTACGAGCCTGGACTGCGCCCCATCGAATGTTACCCACGGGCTTGTTAAGACGAAGGGCGTTTTCAGGGAGTTCGCGCATCAATGGAGAGAGGACGCCGATGAAGCCAAGGGGAATGCGGATTTGGCCCCCCGGGATTTGGATGAAACTGCCGTAGTTGTCGGCGCTGACTTGGCTCAAATCTTCGCCACATCTAAGAAATTTATTGTAAATCAGTTAATTAGTAAATAAAATTAACGGAAAACCATTTTTATATACTTAATACCTGGAGTTAAAAATGAAAAAAACTTGAAAAGCTATCCAATTTTAATTTTTTTTTTCTTTTAATAAAGATAATTTTTACAGATCTACTACAGATCTTCCGCCTTGAAACTTAATGAATTACTAATAATTAAGCTATTATTATTTATGTTATTATGAATTTCGTTAATATTGAGACATTTCCTAACAATATTACAAGTTTTTAAAAGGACTGCTTTTTAAATCTCAATAATTAAATTTGAATTTAATTTTAAAAGTTCAAGTTTCTTTTAAATTGTTTGGTACAACTTCAATTGCGGAAATGATTATCGGTACTATTTTGATCTTTTTCATGTTCCACATGTTTTTAATTCCATTAGCAAAGATCATGTATTTAAAAATTTTTGTTTGATAAGTCTTCTAGATATTGTGAGTGTTTGGAATTGCAATTTCAATTAAAAATGCATGTTTTTCAGTGTTAGAAATAAGAATAATATCTGGCCTATTAGCTGTTATATTCAAACTAGTTAAAACTGTTCTGTCCCAATAGAGTTTGTAATTATCATTTTCTAGAAACGAATCTGGTTCATATTTATAATAAGGTGATTTATTTTAAATTAGGCCAGAATTAAAAGCTAACCGAGAATTAATTATCTTGGCCACATTGTCATGCCTAACTTTATAATCTGATGCAGTCAACACTTGACAGGTAGAGATGAGTTGTTGAATTGTTTCTGATTGTGTTCCACACAATCTACAAAGTCTACAAAGATCGTTACTTTTGATTATATATTTTGTATAATTTTTCGTATTGATTACTTTGTCATGGATTGCAAAAATAAAACCTCCAGTTTCTGAAAAAATATTTGTTTTTGTTAACCGAGAGTGAGCTTTTGTATCAATGTAGCTGTTGTCTATTTTTTTGAAAAACCTACCATGTAAAGACTTTTCTTTTAAATTTTCAATAGTTTCACTTTCGGTAATAATTGTTTCATTACTGTTTGAATCACTTAAATTTAATGGTGTAAAATTCTCATCACTCAACAAATAGCCCTGATCAAAATATTATTATTACTCTGATCTAAGAAATATTTCCTAAGTGAGGAAATTTGTCTACAATATAAATTAAGTAAATTCAAAAAACCACGCCCTCCACTTTCTCTTGATAAAGAAAATCTTTCAATGGATGATTTTGGATGGTGTTTTCTAAACTGAGTAAACAGTGTTCTGATTTTGATATTAATGTTATTAATATCTGTTTTTGTCCACTTAATCACTCTAAACGAATAAACTAATACTGATATTGCAAATGTATTTATAGCTTTCATAAGATTTTTTTAATTTAATTGAGTTTTAGACTTCATTATGAAACTATCTACCAGCGTTTCTTTAATATTACTACGTGATATTTTATTTGACTGTTTGAAAACTAAATTGTCCTAGAAATCATTATTTTTAAAGCTTTCAATATTTTACCATTTTCAGTCAAATAATTTAAATTTATAAAATGACCTTTATTAATTGCTAGAAGTTTACATTTATCTACTTCAAAAGACATTACCTATATCTGAAGGGAAATTCTCTGTTAATTTAAGTAATAATTTAACTTGTTTTTTAGATGTAGCATATAACTTAATGTCACCATTAAATGGCTCAACTTAGTTATAACCCTTTTATTGTGTTTTAAATTGAACCCATAATCAGAAGAATTTAAAATATTGGAAAGCGGATTTATAGCTAGACAAAACCACAAAAATGCCTCTTTTAATTTGAATGAGATTTCTTTTTAAATTATTGTTTTCTAATGTTAAATTTAATGTAGTTTTTCAAAAAATTCATAATATAATTTAAGAATAAGATTAAGTTTGGATGTATTTTGTATATATTCTTAAAATTTCAATTAACCAAGAGTGAGGATATTTCTATTATGTTTTCTTGCTTGTTCCATTACCACAGTGTTTATAATAAGTTGTTCCTTACATCCAAATGATCTTTTAATACATCCTTTTTGCTCCTCAATAATTATATTGTTTTCTAGTTCAGATATGCAAGATGTCATTATCTTGTAAATTGTTGAAAGACACGTAATGGGTCTATATTTAGATGGATTTTTAGTGTCTGAATCTTTTGGTTTTAAATAAGTGATCCCAAGTGTTAAAAATTCTGGAAAATGTTGTGGATTTATAATAAAATTTTGTAGTGATGTATAAAAAGTTTCACTTTAATAAAAAACATATTTTACTTTGTCCTGACTGCATTGGTCATCCCGTACATAATCCTCGCCACGTCGTACTTCTGCTCATCGGGAAAATTCTGCAGCTCTTGCTGAATCCTTAAACCTGCCTTTCATTAATCCCAAATCCCCCATTCCCGACTCTCTTACTCAAAAAATTCAAAAGCGAGCCGTGTTGCTTCGCGCCACCCATACTAAACAAACTCGCAGCTTCGTTTTCTATCTGCTTGAAAGTCTGAAAGGCTAAAACGGCCACCGGTTGGTCAATAGCCCGCCCATCGCTGGTACAGAAAATCCCACTCAAGGGTTTGGCCCTTTGCAGAGGCGGCTTTAGAAGCCCTTCTTGTGCGGCTAAATTATAAACCGGGTTGCCGATACAACCGCCCTCTATGAACTGTGCTCCCATTTCGGCGATGACGTCGCCTAGCCAGCAGGAATGAATCCTGCCGCCTGGTCTGCAAGACTTGTGTGAGAGGTGAAGAGGGGGCGCTGGAGTTACCTGTCGGTGGCTTCCAACACCGTAAAGTTGGTTAATCCGCATTGGGCGAGACGTTGTGCTGCTGATAGTCCTGCAATTCCTGCACCGATGATCACGACGGCGGGTTCCGGTTTGCAGGGATCGACCATGCACTCCGCGATTGTGCATACTTCGAGGTCGGATTTTTTGGGGGCGGGTTTGTCGGGGGCTTTGCCATGGCAGAGGCGGGCAAGTAGTTGCAGGAGGCGGCTGAAGAATAAGGATTTGAAAAGAGTTGCAGGAATTAGATGGGAGTACCTGGATTGGAGGGGTACTAACAGGGATGGTTTTGGCAACATTTTTTTTTTAAACTGAGAATTTGACAATTTTGACTTGAAATGTGGAAGTTTGACAGCTACTTGATTTCCGGCTCGAGTTTCCTGCACTCGATATCATAAGAATTATTTTGACAAAGGCTTTTATTTTGCAATCAGCAGGATCAGCTGCGCCAATAATTGTCTTTTAATGACACACGTGACGTATGCAATAATCCTGCTGAGCGTAGCCCGTGGCAACAAATCTTTATCATCGACCCGGGTGGGTCCTTATTCAATGAAGCGTCTTACGGCGGCGTTGCAGGAATGCAACGGTGACGTAAGATTAGCAGGAATTGGGTCTGTGCCAACAGGAATAAAAAACACAAATTTTCTTAATGCTTTATTTCGGCAATGTTACACGTGTGAAAGTTCCGATTTGGTTATTTTCCGTATTTTCCTTTTCCACTAAACAAGAAAAATTAGTAAAAAATTGTGAAATATATTTAATACGTACTAGCCACCGCCGCCCCCACTGCCCCAACTTCCTGCAGACGACGATGATTGACTCCATGAGCCGCTCGATCCATGACCCCCACCGCCTCCAAAACCGCCACCGCCGCTGGGATAGCCACCACCGCCACCTCCACAGGTGTGGCAAATACCGCCGCCACCGCTACCATATCCTGGAGATCTTTTCTCACGAATGGATTTTTCTTGCTCAATGGTGTTGGTGTTTTTGAAAAGTTTCAAATTCTTGTAAGGAATGGTGTTTCTGACGTCGTCTCCATTTATGGATTCTGGTTGGTTTTGGTCCAAAATTTGGAGTAAATAAATCACTCCAACGGGTCTTGGGGGTTTGAACACTGGTTCTGGTGGGTCTTCTTGGCACAAAACCGCACTTAAGGTCACCAGGAGACCTAATGCAACGATGCACTTCATCTTTAGAACTGTAAAGGCTTTTCGAATTATGATATTTATATGCAGAGTTGAGTATTGACAAAAGTGGAATGGTTGTTATATAAGCAACTTAAGAAAAAAAGCGTTTCTAAAAGATACTCAAAACAGACAGGGGCGGACTTGAAAGTCCCAAAATCACGAAATTTATTTTTAGTTAAAAACTGTGACAGAAATTGCTGATTTAAAAAAATTGAAGTTAAGAAAATAAAATGTGGTGTTTTTAAACTTGGTTAGTTTTTTTAGTGTATTGCTAATGTCGGTTATTAGTGGTTGGTGAGTCCGACACTGCATTTCTGAATCGAATTAATTGTTTAGTGTTGCAAAGAATTTTTTATGAAATTGGTTGTAATTCCCCGTGTTTATAGTAAAATATTCAAGTATCTATTTATGATGGTTTGATTGCAAGTTATTGTTCTGTTTTCTTGGAATAGCTTCAGGGTTTCTTCTTCAAGGTTGGTTTATCCACAAATTTATATATCTTATAAATATGTAGTTTTATACCAATTAAATCATCAAAACAAGATTTAAGAGATGTTTTATGTGTATGGCTTGATTTTAAATTAAAAGTGTTGAATAACTACGTCGAAAAAAGTTTGTTATCTGAGTATGTTTTGGGTATGTTATAATACTTCTAATATTTATTTATTTATTTCTGATTAAGTACTCTTACAAATATTTGTTTACAACTTGTCACCATTAAATTATAATGTTCTGCTATGTAGCTTGTTTGCTGATTCAATGATTTGAAACAATAAAAAGAAAAATTTTGTGTCATTAACACTGGAAGTTCACATGGGAAAATAAAAAATATTCGAAACAGTTTAAACTGTGAGTGCAACAAATTCAGCGATAAATGTAATTGTACAATCAAACGGAGATAATTTGTAATGGCCAGCACTAATCAAAGACCTTGATGATTCTGAGTGTATATTACGTCATCGATTGCACTTCTCCGATTTTATAAAAAGAAATAAATAAAAAAGTCAATATGTGTTGCTGATAATCATTATTTTTAATGTACAAATATGTTAACATATGCAGATGATTTACAAACAAAGTAAGTACACTAATAAAAAAAATATTAAAAGCAAAAATAAATACGTAGGTAGGTATCTAACAGGTATAATAATAATAGCT